AGAATCCCCTAAGCAGACTTTATTTAGGGAACAAAGTAAGGCAATGTTTCAGCTCACACACTGTACCTTCATTAAACCTCATAACAAATCTTGATAAAGACTGATTATCTAGTGTACGAGCAGAAACAGTTCTGTTCTAAAGCGTCTGCTTTGTGGATGTTGTTTGGAGTGCCCAGATTCTCTCTTCAGTTGTACTTAGGCAGGTTGTGAACACAAGTGGATGTGTAGTCAATGATTGCCTATATGCTGGGTTTGCTGCTGGAGATGTTCAGTACTGTAGAGCGTTATAATACGAACATAATAATGTTTCACTTTTGATAAAGAGGCAGAGTGGTTAGCATTTTCTAATTTGACATAAATTTTTATTTTGGCTTTGCTACTACATTTTCTGTGCCAAAATACCCATTTGGAACCTTATTTACACAGGGATTGAAAACCCATTTTCTTTTGTTTTTTATATATTTTATGGGATTTGTATTTGTAGGTCTATGTGAAAAATGTAATGTTATTTTTAATCATTGTATTATATGTGTATAACATATAAAAAAACGAAATTAGGTGTGCTGCACAATACTGATGTGTTTTTGTTTGTTAATATGTTCTATGTCATTTCCTTGTTTAGTCCAGGACTTAGATTAAATGGAATATTCTATTAAAATGTAATAGAGTAGAAACTATAGTTGTTATGACAAGTACCTTCAGCTGGACATGTGTGTTGTATCAATTCTAGCAGGTCTTTTTATTATCTAAAATTGAATAGTACAGTGGCAGAGCAATAGAACAGTGGCAGAGACATACAATAAATAAATTACCAGCGCTGGGTCCTGCATTTAAAACTTTCATGTTATACTCCATCAAACATATTATATTCGTCCTTTATTCAAAAACCAAGTTATATTTGTGTTAAATAGTTTTTATTTCGGATGGATAATAATAGCATACATAAGACAAATTAATATTCTGGTGCCTGCGCAGAGGCACAATATGTTGTGCAAAAATAGAGCAATTTATATGTTGTATATGAATTTTGACATAGCTAATGGTATGCTTTTCACAATAACTGGGTGGCTGTTCCGCTTATGTTTATATCTAAGGTTAGAGCTGCATATTTGGATAAACTTTAAGCAGGGAGAGCAATATCATAACACATTTGTATTAGGTATAAATGGCAAGGATAAAATAGCGGCCAGGCATTTAAGTATTCTGAAATGGGAGTCTTGTAGCAGCGCCTAGTTAGGCCAAATCATGTAAGGCTGTTGCATTCTCATTGGTGTTTGAGAAGGCGTTTAACATGGCCACGCAAGAACATAATGCATAGCTAGGCTGGCGATAGAGCATATAGCAAAACAAATTGCATGTGTACTGTGAAATTTGTCTGTATTCAGTATATATTGTAGGCAGCATGGGCCTAAAAGCCAATGGCGAGTTATAGTAGTGTGGTATGTAGCCACATTAACCAAAATAATAAGTTTTCAGCCTACTAAAAATGACATGCAATAATTAGGCGCCAGAGTGCTCAGGGTTGGTGGCCTTAAGTGCATTCATCGGCAAGCCGGATGGGCATAATGTGAGACGTTATATTTGCCACATACAGGGATCTGGAGCGGAAGGACAGGTCCCACCAGATTAGGGCTCAGAAGGTGAAATGAGTATTCAATTTAAAACCCGCTGCCTGAATGTGGGGTACTTCGTACTAAGCTAATGTAATAAAAAGAACTAGTAAAGAATGAATAGATAAGATATACACATAATATGCATAATAAACTGTTGCTTAAATGAATGACTGTGAGATATTCCTTGTTTCTTGTTCCCCTTTTTGTTATGTTCCCCTGTCCCCTGCTTCTGTGATAGCTTTAAAACATGCAAGACATTTTATCAAAATTATGACTATCTTAGCTGAAGGGTAAATGTTCTTTCTTGACTGCAGCAGGTCTTACAGCTGCTCCCTCTGCGTTTGTTAGCATCAACCTGAGCTGTGGAACATCTGAGGTTCACATGTAGGCTGTGGGGCATATATTGCCATAAAGGCTCGCGTGGTGCCTGGTCCCAGACCGGTCCCCCAGATCTGCTCAGGCCGCCCCCCTGCAAGCATCACGGCACAGTGCACACTTGGGGACAACGTGTGGTCCTGGGCCCCCCCAAGAGTCCTCGGACCCAGTGTCTCCTGCACCTCACCTGAACCTCTGATACCTTGGTGAGTACATTGGGTGCTCCAAATGTGTCTCCCAGCATGGGCCACATTCTCAGGAAAGAGGACAATTAGCACTCAATCCCGCCGGGTTCACAGCAGTGGGGACAAATTCCCTCCGAGCCTCCTCCACACCCAGAGGTTGAGCAACCATGCTGTCGGCCTGTGGACAGTCCGGGTTATCCGACCACGGCCTAGGTCATCCAGGGTGTGCAAATACAGGTTAGGGTGCCCCTCTGTGCGTGAGGTAGTGTCCCTGTTTTCTGGTGTTCTGGCAGGCCTCATCTTGGTGGCCCTTACCAGTTCAGGGGATCAGCGTGGTCGCAGAGCGGAAATGTCCGCCTCGGCGTGTGCCGTCCCCATGAGACCCACCTGAGCCAGCGTGTCCCTCCATGGAGGTATCTTCGAAATGCGTTCCCATCTGGGCGGACCAACGGCTAGTGGATCATACTCTAGTGCCATCTGTGATGGCAGGTAGGCCAGGTTTATCTGTGTCGGTGTTCCCGGTGTGCTGTTGGCCCTTTGCAGGTATCATTTTGAAGCTGGGGTGATTCTCCACCCCAGCATGTTCAGATATCCGACTTTGGGGTGGTTTGTGTCTGGGTTTAAAGCCATTGTTTGGGTCTCAGCCTCAGAGCCATGCTTGTCTGCTTCCAGTCGGCCCTGCCCTCCCAAGTTATATTTGAACATAGTGTGTGTGTGAGTGGTGGCATGAAGAAGGTTAACGCATTATGTGCTGTGCAAGACACTTCTTTAGAGACTCTTTATTTATCTGTATTACAATCATAGGGTAGAACATCTTCAGGTACCATGAAATCTAGGCAGGTTATTGGTAGCAGGGCAACATGGTTTATTCTCATCTAAGCAAGCTAGACAATTACAATTGTGACAGACACAAAATTCTAAGTTGTGTGTTTATTTGTGACTTAAAATAACACTCCCAGTCTCACAAGAACATAAAGGGAAACTATAGTGCCAGGAAAACAATGATGTTTTCCTGGCACTATAGCTCCATATAATTCCATCCTCCCTCGCAACCTCCCCCCCCCCAGAAGGGGCTCAAAACTGCATATTTCACTTACCTGATTCCAGCGCCCAGGTTTATTTGTGCTGGTTAAGCCTCCACCTCCGCTCCTTCGCCAATATCAGCCTGTGGTGGGGACCTAATATGCATGAGTGGTGTTAGGCTTGCAATAGGACTTCCCCAATAGGAAAGCACTTTATAATGCTTTCCTATGGGGTTTTTGGTGACACTGGATGTCCTCATACATAGCGTGAGTACATCAAGGGTTACTTAGGTGACTAAAAGTTGCCTATCCACCCACAAGTCCCTCTAGTGGCTGTCTGGTGGACAGCAACTAGAAGTGGAGTTAACCCTAGCAGGTAATTATTGCAGTTTATCAAACATTGCAATAATTACCACTGCAAGGTTAAGGGACCTGGGACACTGCACCCAGACCACTTCAATAAGCTCAAGTGGTCTGGGTGCCTATAGTGTCCCTTTAGGCTCATTTAAGTTGTCATGACTGCAAGAGCGTTTGTCTGCTTTCTTACCTTCAGGTACCGTGGGCTCCATCACCTGGCATTTCTGCCTCCCAGCTTCCGTTCCTCTGTGCACTGCTGTATGGGAACAGTTAGCTAGCTGGTCAGTGACAGTACTGTTTCTCACATTGATAGACTGATCGGATCAATCGTCACCGTCAGGCATCCACCAAACACCTTGCTAAACCTTGCTTTTACTGCAGTGAAGAGAAAAATGGAAACGGGGAGGCAGAAGTTCTGGGTACTAGAGCCACAACTTCATGGTTAAACCATTGCCAAACAGTTTAAACCCTGAAGGGAAGAAGGCACCTTGACACTATTGCCCCCATAACAACTTAAATTAACTTACGGTAAGTTGTTATGAGTTCGGAATGTTCCTTTAGTAAATCATATGGTCTTGTAGGGTGGTGATATTTAGAGTTCAGTGCTGAGTGCTACACTGCGATATCCCTTTGATTAAGTTTAATTCATAAGAAGATTGGCTCAGCCTTCCATCCATCCAGGTCAATAAAAAAAATACCATTCATTTGGGTTATCATAGGATCTATACGGTAGGACAAATGTATTCTCTCTGGTTAAATAATTAAATGGTATTATGTAGCAATATATAGTTCAACTTTGCGCTAATGACCTTTCTCATTCTATAAAGATACTTACAATGCATGCATACTAGGAAGAAAATACTATTTGGCATTTTATGATACATTTACTAAAGTACACAGTGTTAATGTTAATCCATTTTATACATACTGTTTCTGCAGCCCAAGCCTCTCCCTTCCATAGATTGCATGGATGAGAGCTTTCTGCTGCAGAAATCTATAAAAGGCATATATCTCTCTCTGTTCCATTTAAACTCATGATCAGCCTCCCCATTGAGTAAAAAGTGTGCTGCAGATAAATGGAAAACATTTTCCATGTTATGAAATCCATTGATTTTTATTTTCCTTTTTTTCTTTAACCGTTGCCTTCTTTAAAAATTCCATGTAAAATCATGATCTTCAATTCCTAAAACATTTTTTTCATGTTCATATATTGTATATTACTGTAATGGTACATAAAATGTGCAGATAGACAGTATTGCTTTTGGGGTAAATGTCATAGCTATAATGGAACAAGTTCATTTCCCTCCATATATGAATTGCTTATTCATATCTAGTCTAAATAATGCTTATCTTTATTTATTTCTTATTTTTTTGTGTAGTAGGTCAAAAAATATTTTTCTGGGGTTGGATGGCGTTCTGAAAAATAGGTACAAATGAAATTAAACACGTATTTATAAAGTGATTTATTTTGAATCATAAATTTAAATTACAGCAAATGACTAGACAAGGCACTAACATATAGTGGTTAACAATTAGTAGAGACTTTAATAGAGAACAGCCACTAAGGCTAATGGAATTTTGCAGTAAAGTGGAGCACTGTACATTTCAAACAATACATTTTAAAGAAGTTCTTATATTTTAAATTTCAAAGTTATATAGAAGCCACAATAAAATAAATCCTATATCTTACTATATTTTGAGTATATTGTTAAGAGAAGCTGATAAGTCTTATGGTAGCACACTCACGTTATGAAGAGCCATGGATTTAGCTCCTTGTTTGTGAGATGGTGTCTAACATAATGTGTTTTGTAGTCTACTATCTGATTGTGTACCATTCAGTGAGGCAGAGGATACACATGACTTCCTGAGACTGCAGCTAGATAATGCCCCTAAATTCCATGCAGCTCTAAGTTTTTCCAGTCTTTGTGTAATTAATCATTTGTTCATAGCTTACACTACTGACATATGCTTATGTCTCTGTCTTTCTATATATAGGACATGCTACTTTCCACATTACACTACCAAATCCCCCAGATGCCCAGAATACATTAACCTAAAAAAACACCATTACACAAATTTAAAGATGACTGTAGGACATTTGTGATCATGAATGTATAACCATATAATTTATAAGTTTCACTAGTCAATTTTACACTCTATACTGTAATATATCTGGTGATCTATTTGTAGTCTATGTAACCTTGAACGGTACTATGACACCATATAAGGATATTCTTTAATTTGAACTACACAGTGCTCCCCTATGTTATGAAGTGTAAATTTTGCAGGAAAGTTACTACTTGTACTTGTTAGTACTTAGCTAGACCTGTCCATTCACCTTAAAATTGCTCATTTACACAAAGATTGCAGAACTTGCTAACCTTTCTTTGGATCTGTCTGTATATGATTAGGCTCTGCCATTTCATCTCTCTGACCCTGAGAATCTGCCCCCTTTACCCTATGGTTATTCACCCAGAGACTCTGAGAATGCTTAGCTCCATAAGAATCCGCTATTTCATCCTAAGGATATATTATCACCCTGAGACCCTGAACCTATCAACATGAGAATCTACCACTCCACCTTTTTATTCTGTAACTAAGAACAGAATACAATTTATTTTCATTTTCCTTTACTCCCCTCCCTATCGTGGTCCTCGATCCTGTCTCTGAATCCAGTCCTTTATTACCGTTTGCACTCCTCTGTTTTTGGTCTAAAAAAACTAAATCAAACACTAGCAGCACAATTTGTTTTAAAAATGCATTGTGCTACAGACGGCAAAATGATGCAGGAGGAACAGAAAGACATGTTTAACCCCTTAAGGACCACACTTCTGGAATAAAAGGGAATCATGACATGTCACACATGTCATGTGTCCTTAAGGGGTTAAATGAAGAAGTGATTGTAGGAAGTCTATCGCACTTATATTTTTTACCCGGATATTTATGCAAAATTGAAAGGCTCTCACTGAGATAAGATGCTAACAACTTCAAAATAAACCACTTGCAGAGTGATAAGAGCATAATATGGTATACATTCTTTAATCATTTTCAGAATTTTGTTTCCCTTATTGTCACTCGCCCCTCCAAAAAATAAAACTTTCAGTAATTGTGTATTTACATTTCCAACCCATTAACCATATCCAAATCAGCCTCATCTCCTGATTATGGAATAGATAAACCAAAAACCAACATATTAATTGCTATTGTAATTTCTAATGAAATCCACAGTAATTTTATTGGTAATACAGTGCATTTTGTGTTGAGAACTAACCCAGAAAACACCATGCAAGCATTTTGAAGATATATAATTAAATTAGCTAGAACTATTTTATGGAAAAGATCCTTTAGTCTACAGTGGAAAATAATCCCTAAAATGCAATGGAGGAGCATAGTCAAGCTTGCAAACAGCTTTGATGTGAATTATTTATACATTTAAAAACTAACCTTGCCCCTTTGAGTGAAATTGATACCTGGACATAACTCTCAACATGTTTTGAATTAATCATTAGTCTTTAAATGCACAGCTTTTCACAAACTATTTGAGTAACCATGGGTAGGTCCACCACCACAATTTTGGGGCTCTAGGAAAGAAAACTTTGCAAAGCACCCATCTACCTCTGCTCTTGTTTGTACAACCACATCAATTAATTTAGACACATACACACATACATACTAGCCTCTTTAATTCATACATAACTCGCCACATACCCCAACCTAATTAGCAACATGCTCATACACACAGACATACAATAACACACATTCATAGACACATTGACACCCACACACTGATATGCGAACACACATACAATATACTAAAACTTGCACTCTAACACAATCTACTACTCTTCTGCTGCTTAACTACTGCCTACAGAGGGAGGAAGGGGAGAGGCTTTTGGATGCTCTCTCTAGCCCCTATGGTGTATTGTTTAATGAACAGGAGAGCTTCATCCTGCTTCCCTTCAGTGCTAATACAGACTGAGGATGCCAAGATATTATGTCACATCCTGACACATGCTCAGGGCTGGTGCAAGGATTTTTGGCTACCTAGGCAAAGATGCATTTTGCTGACCCCCCGTCACCCCCCCTTTAAAAAAAAAAAATAAAAAAAAATGCGTCTTCATTTGTGTGTCTTGTAACCCCCCTTTTCATTTTCTTACCCTTTTTAGTGTATTTTATACCCCCTTTACTATGTCTTACACCCTTTTGTCTCTTATAACCACCATTGTGTATCTTTTTCCCAAGCCCCTTTGGGTGTCTCCCCCCCCCCATTCTTTTTGCATGTCTCTTTCTTCCCCCTCAGCCCCTTTCTGGGGCTCTCTCCCCTCAGCACATTTTGTGTCTTTTTCCATGCGATATAGACATAGATAAATAGCAACACACAACCATACAGGCACTCAATCAAACAAATACAGGCACACAGCCACACAATCTACACATACAGGTACAATGTCATACAAACACACACACACACACAGACACATTCAGACACTGTCATACAGACACAGGCATACAAAGACATACATACGCAGGCTTATAGTCATACAGATACAGGCATACAGAGCAGGGGCGGATCCAGAGCCCAATCTTGGAAATGGTACTGGTAGTGGGTTGTAGTGGCTGTAATTGAAAAGTTAGGGGATGCTGTGAGGGGACAGGGGCTGAAGTGGAGGGTTTGGGCTGTAATTGGGGGGTTAGGAAATGTAGTGGGGGGATAAGGGCTGAAGTAGGTTGATGGCTAAAATTTGGGAAAGGGGCTGTGGTGTGGGTGATATGGTTTGCAATTGGAAAGACGGGTTGTAGTGGGGATGTTATGGAGCTTTAATGAGGGTATGGGGGCTGTGGTGGTGAGGGACGGGGGCTTAAAAAAGTAGATTAATTTAAAAAAACTAAGAAAAAACAAAAGTGTATTTCCACCCCTCCCTGATGCTTGCCTTGGGCCAGGGAGGAGTGGAATAGGAACTGAAGGCAGCATACAGCAGCCTGGGAAGTCAGCCGACCTCTCCTGATGATGTCTGCTCTTCTCCCAGACTCTCCAGCGGTCCTGGGAGAAGAGCAGTGGAAGTCACTTCCCCTCCTGACATCATCAGGAAGGGTCGGCTGACTTCCCTGGCTGCTCTGTGCTGGCTGCAGGGAGACAGGTAAGTTGAAAATTCCAAGTCCTCAGCCAGAGGCAGGGGATTCAGATTTTTTTTTGCCCTCCTGCTCTGGCGTCCTAAGGCAGCTGCCTGAACCGCTTTATGGACGAGCCGGCCCTGCACATGCTGCAACTGATATGCACTTTGGAGACCCGGTGGTTTTGCGAGCCACAACTGACCAGCTCTCATCCAGACACCTAAGCATGCTGCTTGTTAAACATGCTGTCTGCATAAGAATCACATGATTGTGGCTTCCAAATCGATTGAGGCCCCTCAAAGCAAGAGACCTACACATGGCCTTTTATAACTCATCCATTCGGAAAAACCTTTTTTGTGTTTCTTTGATTTCTCTGAAGAGTTCTGTAATAATGAGTAGTAAATATGAGGTATAGGATTGATGTGTAAGCATAAACTAATACTGCCCTTATTGATGTGTTTATGCTGGTTACTTAATAGACTCCCCATTGCTTGACATATTAAATAGCTCTATTTTTATGATTTTGACAGAGATTTTAATATCAACTTCCTTCAAAGAGCAGTAATTACATAACTTGGTCTTGCAATGCTTCTTAAATATAGTTAAATATTAATAAAAATCACTATGTGACTCTTTTCTACTCTAGGTAGCAATGGTACACCTCATTTGTTAATGGAGAGCATAATGGTCACAACAATAGTAATAAGAGTTTGGCCAAAATATTAATGAGGGGTTACATTAATTTAACCTAGCATGTTTATGCATATTAATGAGTACTTGACACGGTTGGGCTAGATGAGGGTTAATATGGACTAGTACATTATAAATTAAGGTTTGAGTTTATACTTAGGTGGGTACTTTTAATTTGAAAACATTTAATTGTAGAAAAATAATTTTGAAAAAGAAGGCCGCACTTGCTTTCTCTGTTAAACACCATTTTTACCCTGCAAAGACATTTCCCTGCTCTTGTTTTTTGAATTTACAGAGAGACTGACATTACCCACTCTCTCGTCCTGTAATCCACAGCAACAGTTGTAAGTCAAACTTATAGGCTGCATTCCAGCAGCCATAGAGAGAATGAATTTAACCTAGCATGTTTATGCATATTAATGAGTACTTGACATGGTTGGGCTAGATGAGGGTTAATATGGACTAGTACATTATAAGTTAAGGTTTGAGTTTATACTTAGGTGGGTACTTTTATTTTGAAAACATTTAATTGTAGAAAAATAAATTTTGAAAAAGAAGGCCCCACTTGCTTTCTCTGTTAAACACCATTTTTACCCTGCAAAGACATTTCCCTGCTCTTGTTTTTTGAATTTACAGAGAGACTGACATTACCCACTCTCTCGTCCTGTAATCCACAGCAACATTTGTAAGTCAAACTTATAGGCTGCATTCCAGCAGCCATAGACCGAATGAAGGCTCTAAACATACGCAGTACACAGTAAAGATTCCTTGTCCATATATTGTATACATATCTTGTATAACTGTGTGTGTGCAATATTTTTATATACAAACATTTTACAGCCTGGTTGAATTTCTAGCAATTTTTAAAACTAACCATAAGTATGTGAACAATTTACTTATCCATTTTTGCCACACCTACTGTATGTGGCTAAAAATGTATTTCTACTTTAATACTAACATTTGAGACCCTATCTGAAATATTATAATATCAGGGTACCATATAATCTCTTCAGTTAATTTGTATAAAATGAATTTAAATTATGCGCCAGTTGTGTCAGGACAGCCAGGAATAAAATGCAAATTAAAAATATAAAAACTGCTTGGAATTCTTACATAGCTAACGGGTTAGGCAAATAATTCAGATGTGACAATTCCCCTTTACAGTGATTGTATAAATAATTCACCAAGCTATATTATGTATGGTTGACATTTACCATACTCCTATTCCCAATATGTGCTGTAGACAGACATCTGGGCTCTAGCCCTGTTTGGTGAGGAAAAATATAGCCAGGCCAAAGTGGTTACATTGCATACATCAATTACAGGAAAACTGAACATTTGGTAAGTTAAAATAGAGTAATTAGTATCACCTTTAAGGATGTGGGTTATTTTCCATATATATGGATGGCCAGAGTATTTTCAGTGGTCCCTCATTGGTTAAAACACGCACATCATATATTTCTCACTCTCAAGACACATGTTTCTAGACAATGTAGCGGCCCTGCCTTAATTTTAGCAATACTGCCTAACTTTGAGGAAATCCTTTTGGTACTGGGAAGAGTCTAATCAAGGTGTGAATTTATTATAGTATACATTTTATTACAAATGAGAATCTCTGTTAGCTAATTTTTCATTTAAAGAGTCGATCAATACAATAGTATGCACAAATGCTATTTTGGTTGTGAGATGACAATATGTTCAGAGAACTCAAATAAAATCTATAATGTATTTCAGATTCTACAGTCTGCTCTAAACGGCTTGTGATCTATAATATAGTGTGACCTTGAAATGGAAATTACCATTGGGGTTCCTTATTACTATTTATTTTAATTGAACATATTAGCATAGTTATATTTTTCTACCGTTAAGTACTATTATTCTATTAATTATGAGAATGCACCCTTTATTGGCACAAAAAGTTGTCTTGGACAGTACAGTAAAAATCTTCAGTGTGTAAGATATTTTTTTTTGCATTAAAGCTGATGTTGATGCTCACTTCATCACTACCCCTGATGAGGTTAGCAGTGCAAGAAAAAAAAAAAATGAAGCCGTTTTGCTTACAGTTTAACAATGAAGAAATTGTTCTTAGCTTGGTGCTAAATAAAAATGCCTCACGTTACATTCAGAAAAATCATTAGCATTTTTAAGAATTTCTAAAGTCACTTAAAATATCAGTCCCGCTTACTGAAAGCAAAGGAAGCAATTACGCAATGCTTAATTGATCATTAATAATTCCATTCAGCGAGGATAATAGCACTCCTGAGAAATACTGGCCTAACATAACTTCACAAAATGGCTGCCATTACAATGCCTATGCATTTTTGAAGCATCGCGGTGCAACCTTGTTAAAGATACAAGAGCAGAGGAAAATTGATGTAATATTTCTTGCAAAATCACCATAAAAGGCAAAACTTTAAATACCTTGTCCTAAAGCTTAAAATGAAAAAATCTATATATCAAATAGTTTTCTTTTTGATCAGCACACACTTGCTGGATTTTTATCTTCTTTTTTATTCATTAGTCTTGTTAGACAAGTGCAGTAATTTATATCCAAGGCAGTCTTAGATAATCAGTGATGTCTCTTAAGCGTAGGTCTCTTCAGAAGTTTTTGTCCCATCCTGATAATTCATCTGGTGGGTCTTCAGCTTCAGGGAGGAAACTGTCAAAGTAGCTGTGATCCGTGATCCCCTTGATCTGCATAAAAGGATAGATGTTTAGAGCAAATACCTAATAGATGGGAGAGATTTATCAAGGCAAAATAGGTGCTCTTATGGGTTAAAAGTGCTAAATATTGAGGGGCATTCTGTTGGTTTCCATGGTGACAACTTGGCACATTGTCCCAGAATTGCACATGGGGAAAAATGCCTTGATAAATCTACCTTAATACATGCTTTACATTTATGACAGTCTGTACTGTTGAAATTCATAAAAAGTGTCTGCAATGTTGAATTAGTTTCCTCCTATGTTAGATTATATTATATAAACTGTGTTTGCATGTTTGAAAAACTATTGACATCATGACATTCACAAATCTCAATTTTTCAAGAGACAATCATTCTCTTAGACTCAAAAAATGTTTGGTGATCACATTATTTTTTTAGAATTACCCACAACAGGAAAATTGTCAGTTCTGTGTTTTAATCTGTAAAAAAATGTATTCGTAATTTTTTTCATTAAAGAATATATATATATATATATATATATATATATATATATATATTAGACAGGATTGAAATGGCTTATTGGGTTCTCACACAAATCTTAATACACCTACCTCTCTTTTCAGTGGGGAGATCAGTTTACGGTTGCGTAGACCTTCCCAGTTAAAACCTTGGAACCACCTGAAAGACAGTGGATAATTATTTCTATATTATTGTTAACAGATGGTAATGTAGCCAAAAATAAATTAACTTATATGATATTCGGTCAGATCTTGTGATTTCCACCTGCATTCAAATTAGGTTGGTATGTACATGTTATCCTTAGCCTTAGCAAGCTTGTACATGTCCTTAGATCTTTCCTAAATAAATGACATCCTCCTTATTTTTTAGATAGGCTCATCCATGGTCAATGATCCTTGCTGTCTGGTGGTAAACCTTCTTGCACTCACTTCATTTCTGAATTTTCAAGGTGGATGATATAAGAGTAATGAAGGAACTTATGCTATCGTTTAAGGACTTTATGGAACAATGTACAACTACACAGATGCTTGGAACAAGTACCTTTTATGACAATCTGGGCTGAAAGAGTAATGGTTTTAATGCCATCCAGAAACCTTGGATGATAAACTTAGGACTGTGTGGTGTTTTCATGTGCACCAAGTATGTGTGAGGATCCTTCTCCAGCTATGTGCTTATAATAACTTCCCAAAGCCATTGACTGTACCAGTGAGTAAACTCCTAAGTTCTAACCTTGCTCCATTAACTTTTTGCTTTTTCTTCTTCCCCTTCATCCTTGGTTTGTACCTTCCCTCCTATTGTCCTCTTTTCTGTCTATCTCTTCCCCTGCTAACCAAAGTAATTATTTTACTTTGTGATGAAACTTGCAGGAAATGCCACCCACTGGATGATCCTGAGCACTATGCCAAAGTCTTTACTTGTTAGATTGATAAAGGTTAATAAACACCGCAAATGAGAAGTAATTCTCTTTGTCTAATGGAACCAATGCTTCGTCCAAAAACTTGACCAATATCTGTCTTTACATCTCTAATATTATTTTTTGCTGTTGTAAAAATTACATGTATTGTTATACTGACCTAAACATTGGAAAAAAAAGAAAAATTATGCTAAATATAGTTTTAAAAACAGAAAAAATATCAAACCATTTAAAAAAATGTTAGTGATCTTGTTAAAACTAGCTACTAAGCACACAGTCTGCACTCTGATAGAGCTTTGATAGCAAACTTATAAAAAAAAGAGTTATATTTTATATATAAACATATTTCTGACATCACATACCTTTCAAGGCATCTCATGCTATCAAAACTGTCATCCACACTACAACCCATCTCTAGATACATTGACCCTAGATACCTTGTCTTGTATTCTGGTTCATAATGATCAGAATCATCAATCCTACTTCTGTTACAATATTGCTTCTTCTACTTAAGTTGATATAAAGGTTCCCATGCATATATCTGTGAGCTATTTACATAAGACATATTGTGGCTTGCAAGGAAGTCAGTCCATTAGTGGGATCCATTAAAATACTAATGGTACTATAAAGCCTTCTCACTTTAAACTGCTGCTCCTCCATGCAGTGACATACATTTGAGACTCTGTTTCTCATTTGATAATGTCAATATTGGTCAACTCATTTTTATCTTCTAATCTGGTTAGCTTCATTAAAGGTAGTGATAGTGATTCAGAAATAAATACAAACTCAACACTCTGCTACTAGACACTCGTTTATAGTATTAAAATGGCCTGGATAAGATTGCCTTGATACTGATTGTTTGAGAAAACACTTTTAGAAATACAAACTAGTATTATTCTAGGACTTATCATAGCCAACAATCACATGTACACAATTAGTGTGATTTTGTTACATGTCTTCTTCAACAGAAGAGCATATACTACTTGGTGTTCCCTCACCCACTCATGATAATGAAAGACTGGATCCTGTTCACATCTCTCTTTATAAAATTTCTAGATCTTCTATTCTCTCACATCTACACTGCAAGCATGAAGATAAAGCCTCATGCCATGGACAAATGTATAGAAGGTTTTATTGATGTCACTATCACCACCTTGATCACTTTATTGATTACACTGATTTTACTTTAACTTTGTTCAGGACACATTTTTAAATATTCCAAATGAACAAGTTATTTAGAATGACCTTTTCCCACTACAAAACTTTTTTTTGTCTTCTCTATGTTCCTCAAACTTACTTTTAATAAGAGATTTTTTTTTTTGACAATCTTTATTTATTCTTTTTACAGTCATTTAGTGAGTCATAACTTTGAACATATTTTGGTGAACATTCGTTGAACATTAAAACATTGGGTTGTTGGCTTTTGACAGCGGCAGACATTACCGGTGCTAAGCCGGTAGTGTAGGGGCCTATGTCGGCTAAGGCTGCGTATCATCAGAGTCTGCTGCTGAGGACTTTTGGTTTTACTTTTACATTTATATTTTCAGTTGTAGGCATAAGGTAGGTTGGGTCTAGGGTAAGGTGTGTGTTGTCCTGTGTGCTACTTTCTGGTGGACTTGCTTTGTTGTGTGGTTTATGTAATTTTCCCCTTAAAACTGCTTTCTTTTGTTTTGTTTTGACTGGCTAGGTGTGTGTGTTTCGAGGTGTCTACAGAGTTTCCTTGTTCCATCTAGGTTTCTGGCTTGATCGTATTGGGTTATTTGGCTAATGTCACTCGTGTGTTGTGATGTTTCAGTCATTATCAAATAGGTGTGCTTTATTTGACTCTTGATGTTGAGGCGATCTCGTCCT